TTTACGATTCATGATGAAACAGAACGATGCTTAAACAGAGCTTCCGTGGTCATACTTCTTGTGTCGAATAACTTTTGTCGTAGTCAATACTGCCAAAACGAGATGGATAAAGCATATTTACTGGGTAAACCCGTCGTTTTGATGCTGTTTGGAAATGTAGACGAGGAGATAATGATGCCTACGTTGCACGGCTTGTACAAGAGGGACGCCCGCATTCTTTGGAAAATTGAAAATGGACAGTTTGTACTGAATACCACGTGGGAAAATATATGTACTTCGCTACTGGAAAAGGTGGCTATTTAGTAGACAGAGCGTAAAATTGTAAATTTATGTGAAAATGTTTAGTCACAGTGTAAATTAGGAGAACACCAGTGTTACAAATTATTTACAAATATTTATACGCCTGCAGTAGAATATTTGTTAAGTCAGTAATTGAGGTTTAACAACTTGTTAAATATGTATACGGTATAAAGAGTAAGGAAGGGCCATATCTAACGCAGGAAAAAGGAATTCTAACTTCCTTTGATCTTGCTTAGTTACGTGTTGTGGCGATCATACATGAAAATTTTATGTACACGAGGTCACAAATACTAGTATATGTTTTCTCTGAAAATCGGGACATAATGATCTTTATGATACACTGATATTTGCAAAGTACTAGTATATAAATGTAACGTATTTATACTGTATTTTCTTCAAACTGCAATATTAATATTAAAGTCTATTTAAACGCTTTATTTGATATACAATAAGTCACTTTCGTCAGGTTCACAATGAGCGACAGGAAGATAGATGTCTCAGCTTATGTATAAACATTATTCAAATAAATGAAGATAAAATCATCTTAATGATTTAAAAAATCAACCAGAACAAATTTAGTTTCCATACACACGTAAAAATGCACCACGTATAAAACGTATGTGACACACATAGTTTGCATGTGGTAGAAACATATGGTGTCTCCAAGAAAAGTACCCGTATGTTTTACATATGGTGGCGACACATGTTTTTCGTATGTTTTCATATGGATACACATGAATAACATATGCTTTTTTATATGGTAGAAAACCTTGTTTCTCCAAGAAAAGCACACAGTTTGTTACATATGTGGTATAAACTAAAGTTATTAACATATGGATTCACATGATTTGAGATTTTCATTGCATTAAATCAATATTAGGATTATTTTTTATTATAACTATAATAAGTTTCTAATATTATTTGTCTGAAAACTGCAATTTTATTGTAAACTTCTATTAAAACGCTATAATTCATATTTTTTAAAGTCACTTTCGCTCACTTCCTTCAAAAAGTCACTTTCGTATTTTAGGCAAACCCTGATGCGTGTGTAAACCACGTGGTGTAAATAATGCATTTTCATTGGATGTTGTTTTTTTAGCGAGAACTTTAGTCATATGTCTAAATAAAAGCATTTCTTTTTCATTTCAAATTATTTCATCATGTGTTTTCTTTAAATAGTTATTATAACTTAATTATATACTGATATTCGTTCATGTTAAAACAAATAAATACATACAAATGTCACAGGCAATCGGTGCGTATAGTTATACATGTACATGACCATTATTTTTTTATAATTTTTTTTTTTCACTAATAAAATATTTTTTTATTCAAAATGTTTTTAAAATATCTTATTTTCAATAAATCAACAAAGAAAATTTGTTTTTAAAAAATTTCATCCATATATACTATTAATATAGTAAAGGTAGAAAGGTTCGCCAGCGGACCTACCACCAGGCCTTATGTTACCTCCCAGATCTTTGTTAATTGTCAACCAATTTTCACCAAATAAAGTGCAATCTACACAGAAATGATCCAAAACGTCTGCAGGTACGCACTTTCTGTAGTTATTTGCACTAACTTTTTAAATTTCCCGACATTGTACATGTATACAAATTCTGATCCGGATATTCAAGGTACGCATGCTCGGTTCCCGCTGGTACCCAGCTTCGCTCAATTTTTATTATGCGAAAAGGGGTACGCATCAGGTACATCCGGGTCAGCATTTGTATACATGTAATGTCAGGGAATTTAAAAAGTTAGTGCAAATAACTACCGAAAGTGCGTACCTATACAGACGTTTTGGATTAACTTTGGACCGGTAAGCGATAGTATTATAGCTGCCCTTTCTGTTTCAACTGTTTGCATGCACTGACATTAGTTTATTATTAAGAAAAAGATCGATTTATGTTCAAAATCGTCTACTTTCGGCTCGGTCAAGCGATGGCCGACCTAGACAAAAAGTGCATTTTCGCTTTAAAATTCCATCTTTTGTCGAACCAACTGTTCTAATATTGTACATTTTTCGAAAGAGAAATCATTTCTGCGAAGATTGCACTTTATTTGGTGAAAATTGGTTGACAATTAACAAAGATCTGGGAGGTAACATAAGGCCTGGTGGTAGGTCCGCTAGCGAACCTTTCTACCTTTACTATATTTATAGTATATATGGATGAAATTTTTTAAAAACAATTTTTCTTTGTTGATTTATTGAAAATAAAATATTTTAAAAACATTTTGAATAAAAAAATATTTTATAAGTAAAAAAAAAAAATATTTAAAAAAAAATAGGTGGGCGTGGTCATGTACATGTATACTATCCAAGCCACGCACCGATTGCCTGTGACAAATGTAAGTGACAATTCTTGCGAGAGTCATCCACGCGAGATTAGGCCAAAACAAAATGATCTTGTGGTTCCAGTGACCTGACCGACCATGTATTTCCGCACCTAACCTAGAACATTTTATTGCAAAAATGGAGTATCCTATTGTGTACATGTATATATTAGACATACAGTTAAATTTTAATAAAATACTAATTAAAAAAATACGACCTACCTACCCTATTATTTTTCAGCATGTTACCAGAACCTCAAGATCATTTTGTTTGGCCTTATGACGTCAAACACACGACCATATATTTTTATCTTATGTGTACCATATCACACGTCGGCGTGTAATAATGAAGTACAAGTATGTGAACAAGTGATCCTATTTTTTCCAGCTGATAATTGCTGTGTTAATTTAAATTTGAAAAGTTGTAAGATATTGTGACAGTATTGTTTATCTGTAACTTTTTGCTCTACCTTTATTCTATTTATTAAAATCTACATTATTTTTTTTAATTTCATCTATATTCACATACTTTAAAATTATTATCATGTTGCATGCTGAAATTTCTTGTGGACATGGTACCTTGGCTGTTTCAAAAACATGTATTGCCCCGTACTTCACTTCAGTGTTGTTATATTTTCTGGTCCTTCGGGATCATTGATGCCAACACTATAAAGTGTTGAGAATTGAGTATCGCTCAAGCCGGTGCTAGGGGGCGTGAGGGATGTAGCACTTATTCATTATCCCTCATGTACTGACTCGATCAATCCGAGTCTGCAATTCTTATGTTATTTTGTTGTGACTAATGCTTCCGAGGGATCACTTTGTTTCCAGAATTTTGTTTTGTTTTTTGTTAACTTTTGGCATATTTGTCTTTTATTAAATAAATCTTGATTAGTTTTCTTGCACTTTATTTTTGATAAAGTTTCTTAGTGCAATACACCGAAGATAACACAAAGTGGTGCTTTATTCGAAAATCCCCCCTCCCAATATTTTGCGACAATGCTACACGGCTGAACTATACATAAATGATTTTCTGATTTTCGTGAATGTTGAACGAAACTAAGGGTATTTACCTATATACTACTTTATAAGAAATTTATCATTGTTTAATCTCCAATCCTAACCACCGATACTTTACTTCCTTGTATATTTGTCGTTTGAAAGCGTAATCCTAGCCATTATCTAATCTAATGTTGTATTTATGGATCTCAGAAATGATTACAAAACAGCATTCTTTGTTTGTTTATCACTATTGATAATATTAAAATGTAGGTAATTTAGATAAAACTGATCGATTATTTAACATTCAAACCACGTGAAGGAAAAGCCCCGGTTAACTTGATAACAAATGCGTCTTCAAGATTTTTAAACGACCATTATATTAAAATACTTATGTTGTTCTTCTTTTCAACATAACAGTATACAAGATATATTTACTAAATATCCATATCAGTTAACTGCATATACGTTTTAAATGACATGTTTTGTTAAATAACTGAAAGAAAATGATGAATGCAATAAAACGATATTGTGTTGGAATACTTGTCATATTTGTATTGTACGTGGAAGTTAGAAATACAAAGACGATTTTCGAACGATGTAACGAAATTAACAATACCATATTGGTATGTAATTATATACCAAAGCAATTGTCAAGGAACTACAAATATGTTCGTATTGTAGACTTTAAAAGAGAAGATAAAATCGTAACACTCAATAGTTCCAGTTTCATTCATGAAAGCTGGGCAAAAGTTCAAACCATCGAGTTCAACGACCAAACAGGATTAGGGTTTTTGTGTACTTTCTATCGTGAATGCTTTAAAGGATTGATATCTTTAAAGGAATTGAAAATTCATGTAAGCCATTTTAAACTTGATACATATGCGTTTGTCGGTTTACCATTAGTACACACATTAGATGTCAGCAAATGTTATCGTCTTGTTATACATGATGTTTTTAAAACTCTGGAAGTGAAAAGTGCGTTACCTGCCTTAAAGAGTCTAATCATGTCTGAAATAGGGACTTATAGGAGCGGATCTAATAACATAAATCAAGAAGATGTGAATTATATATTACCAAGAAATATAACAAAGGTTGATTTAAGCAGAACGCAAATGAATTTTGTCAATGTGACCGCGGTATTTAAAACATTAGTTACTCTAGAGACTATAAATATATCGTACTCGGTTATAGCAGATACATGGGCCTCAGAAGTCGCTCAAAAAGATTTACGAAAATTGAAAGTTTTTGACGTAAGTTATATTGTCTTTCCAACAAGAATAATGCATTTTCTTCCAGGGAAATATGTTTTGGCGAATGAAACAGTTAAATATTCACAGATGCCAAAAAGCCTAATGCACAATATGAAAACTGCATTCACTCCATTGTTCATTAATATAAGCGGGATTGCCCCTCTTTCAACGTCATTGTGGATGTATAACTGTAAAGTTACTATTGATGAACCTTTAGGCTGGGCAGTCAAAGAACTTATTGTTAGGAATAACGATATTAGATATCTCGATGTTGATATCGTATGCCCTGTCTATAAACTAACATCCCTATTTCATCTCGATTTGTCGGATAATGGATTGGAAATGGTGCATCCCACTGTGTGTTTACCAAATTTAGAAAAATATGTTTTGTCTAACAACAAAATGTTCAGAATGCAAGAAAAAAGTCGAAACCTCTTCGGCAAGTTGTTTGTTTCACACAGTAAACTTCGTGAGATAAATTTATCAAACAATCGTCTTTTAGAGATTCCTAAAAAGATGTTCAAGCACAATAAATTACTTAAAAGAATTGATCTCTCATTCAACCAACTTCAGCAATTACAATTTGATTTGATGGAACTGTATCATCTTCGTACGTTAGACGTTAGTAACAATAACATAAAGGTTCTAGACGAGATATCCATCAATAGCCTAGATGGACTTCCTAGCTTAGGTCCACACATTCATGTGAACAATCGTTGTTTAGTGAAAATGAAATCAAACCCATTTCTTTGTTCAACATGCGCCTGCAAGTCTTCCATCCAATGGCTCGTTAGTTTAACGAAGTTGAATATTGAGCAACTCGACTTAGTTTGCAAGACTGAAGATAAAACTTTTCGAAATATCGATGAATCAGTTACAAAAAGAATTCAGAATATTTGTAATAGAAAAATTATCATCATTATATCGACTGTATGCACAAGTGTTACACTTATGGCAGTTTGTATAATAGGTATTATTTTACACAGAAGAAAGAGAAGGCTCAAGCGACAACGGAACATGGAAAATGTTTTAGCCAGGTTAATAGAAGGTGAAGGACAGTACGAGTTTGTTGCTTTCCTATCACACAGCAGTAATGATTACCAATTTGTACAAGATCACGTGATTAACCAACTAAACGAGAATCTTAAACTGATCATTGGAACGGATCGTGATCTTATATGTACTGGAGATAAAAATTATCGTCCTGGCTTTACGGTTCATGATGAAACAGAACGATGCTTAAACAGAGCTTCCGTGGTCATACTTCTTGTGTCGGACAACTTTTGTCGTAGTCAATATTGCCTAAACGAGTTTGATAAAGCATATTTACTGGGTAAACCCGTCGTTTTGATGCTGTTTGGAAATGTAGACGAGGAGATAATGATGCCTACGTTGCACGGCTTATACAAGAGAGACGCCCGCATTCTTTGGAAAATTGAAAATGGACAGTTTGTACTGAATACCACGTGGGAAAATATATGTACTTCGCTGCTGGAAAAGGTTCCTGCGTAATAGTGTACATTTATGTGAAAAATTTAAGTCAGAGTGTAAATAAGGATAAAACCAGTGATATAAACATTTTATTATGATGTATGTTTCAAATTTTGAAATAAGTGATCCTATTTTTGATAACTGCTGTTTGAATTTAAGTTTGAAATGTTGTAAGATATTGTGACAGTTTTGTATATATATCTTTAACTTTTTGTCCTACCTTATATTGAATGTATAAAAATCTACAAATTTTTAATTTCATCTGCTTGACAATAGTATTCACATAATTCAAAATTATTTGCATACTGATATTTATTGTGTACATGGTAAATAGCTAATTCAAATTATTGTTATTTTTTTTTAACTTTTAGCATATCTTGATTATTTTTCTTTTACTTTATTTGTGATACAATTTCTATTATACACATTCTAATTATAAACAATCATCTTTTTAACTTCTAAGTATTTATTACTTTAGCATAATGCACTCATATGTTTGTTCCTAGAATTTGTTTATAAGGAGTGAATTTGTGCTTGACATTGGTTTTTCACAGGCAATTAGGCAACATATACCAGTCGGTATTCTAAGCCATCTCATTTTCTTTCTCTTTTTACACAGCTTATTCTTCCTTTTATAAATAATAAATATGTTTATTTTAAAACTGTGTTTGTATATAAGTAAATGTTACTACAATAAATTCTTTACCATTTCAAATTTTGTGTTTTAATGCTTGCTATTTTTAATAAAAGAGAATTATTGCTGAAAAAAAGTTATGTTCATATAAAAAAAACTCTGGGTAAAGGTTTGTAGTTATATTATGTTGATTATGCTGGAAGTATTTCAGAAATGAATTAGATTTTTTTTTTAAATATACACAGCTAGAAGAATGTCTTAGAAGAATCCTAATGGGAAAACTGAGAGGCTCACTTTTCATTTAAATCATTTTAAGCCAGTTTCATGTAAAGCCTTATATACTGATGTCAAAGGCGAACAATAATGTGTCCGAAAAAAAATTTAATTTGATTTTAACTCGTTTTGCAGGAGAAACCCGCTTATCCCGATTTTCACGTGCATTCTAAGGACCTGTAGTTTCGTGTATATCTTATGAAACTTTTCATTGTAATTTTATACACTTTCATGTCAATAAGTAAAATACGGAGAGACAAAAATCAGTTTTCTTTATTTTAGATATGTCTAGAATTCCTCAAAAAATTATACGAACGTGTCATTGGCTAAATATTGATTTGGCGATGAAGGCCGTCGCTATGAATACTGAATGTTCTAATAGTGCTATTCGACAGATATGGCAACGTTTTCAAGTAACAGAGCGTCACGACGCGTGCCAAAAACCGCTATATTTGATCCACCTATCTGCGCAATCGCTTCCAAACTGCCACAGCTACCCTAATTGTGCGCAATTGCTTGTGCGAGGGTGGGCTTCATGGTCGTCAACCATACGTTTGTTTTGTTTTGAGGCGATGTCAACGCGTAAACCGTGTTAAGTAGGCACCTATACACCAACGCTGGCTTAGACAACAAAGGTAAACCTTGATTCCTCTGACGAGTCATGATTTTCCATTCATCGAGTAAATGGCAGGGTTGGAGTATACTCTAGGAGAAATTAACGTTTAGCCGACTGCTGCATACTTGAACGAGATCGTTTTTGGAGTGGGGATTCTGTCTTGGTCTGGGTCGGCAGTGCACATGGCTTTCCACTAATATGGCTGTTTTCAAAGGGAAATTGAATGCCCAACGCTACTGAGATGAAATTCTTTCGAGGCATGTTATCCCACTGTTTCAAAATAATGCCAAAATCACTCTTTTTCAACATGATAATGCCATAAGCCATACAGCCAAACTGTGAATTTCCTCAGGGCGAAAAGCATTGCATACATTAATGACTGGCCTACCAGAAGTCCTAGTTTAAATCCCATTGAACACCTTTGGGATAATTTGGACCAGCGTGTTTAACGTCGCCCTATTCCACCGTCAAACGTCATTCAGCTAAAAAGTGGAACAATATTCCACAAGCCGAAGTCAATACGCTGATCCGTATTATGCGCCAACAATGCCAGACAGTCCTTCATGCTGAAAGTGGTCATACCGATATTACTTTTTGATTTTTGGGCGACTACTTTTGAATAAACTCTAAGCAATATTTTTACCACAAAAATCGCAATGAAATACTCTTTCAATTCGTATTATTCTACTTTAATACTGATTTTCATATGTGTGTTTATCTGCACTTAAATGCAGGCGAAATTTCTTCATTTTTGATCAGTATATAACCTGTAAATCTGTTTATATGTTGTTAAATTTCGTGTAGAAAATCACTGAAAATTATACCACTTTACATACGAGACAATCATACCAGTTGTATTTGGGACCCTACACTAATCGCTCAATAGAGGCCAAGACACAGGACTGGTGTCTTAGTGAAAGCTGGGCATCTAGTTAGGGGGTTTGCATCTTTATACAGTAGGCTATATACTGTTTGTCTTCTAAAAACATGCACTGCCATTTTGATATTTAAGGGACAAATATGCTGTAAGAAATCTCAATGTAAGGATAGTGTTTCATCTTCGAGCGTATTAAAGATATCATACATGTGTGGACCTGACAAAAGCAAAGTTGACCTTCCGATCATACAGTCATCAGCAATCCTCCCCTTATCATTTCCACCTTGGTTGTAATGGCAAACGAAGGCCTACACCAATTATATGACTTTATATATCAATTATAATAATACTTATGCAAGCAACATCTATTAGTGGGGCGGGAAATTGAGAAAATAGTGCAAATTGTGATACAAGCATGAAACTTTCAGGAAATCATCTTTAGACCATGTAGATTTCAAAAGTGAAGTGGGCCCAAAAATATCTCTGCTCATTCAAGATGGCCGCCATTTTCAAAATGGCCGCCATATAAATTTGAGTACATTCTAGCTCATTCATTCCAATTTTTTGTATAGACCTTTAACTCACACCAAAATCATGCATATAATTTCTCCTTCTCAAAAATTTAAATCTCACAAAATTTCTCTTTCATACTTCTTCCAAATCCAAGATGGCGTCCAATATGGCCGTCGATTTTGTGCAAAACTGTTATATCATTTTTATAGTATAATTTGTTGCAATAATTATGTTTATTATGATAAAAAAAGTGTTTAAACATATCAGAGGTAATCAAATTATATGTAAATCTCAATAAAAGTAAACATTTAAAAAGTTTTTGTCTAAAAATATCTTTAAAAAAGATCAAGAAAAAATTCCATTTTTTTTCATATTTTTCAAATTTGATTTTCTAAAGTAATGTACAAAGTTAAAACAGTTACTTTATATCTTAAATTGTATTTGACATTTCATTAATATCATGTGTTTATTGTAAAGAATGTAAGAAAAGCATTAAATCTGTAGGTTTTATATTTTGTGAAAGTGGGTGGGGTAATTTTATATGATAATTGTGAAAGAAAAAACAACAGAAAATCTACATAGCTAAGTTCATTCTATTTCTTTGCCTTTTTACTTTTCTATGAATTCTTATGCAAATGTTCCAACTTATAAAGTACTTTTTATTGGATGAAAGTATTTTTGTCTTCCTTCGGGCCATTTGGTGGGTGAGCATTTGGTGGGTGTATACATTCAGTTATTAAATTTGGTTGCATGATAATTCTTGTTTCAATATATATATCATATATTAATTGTTAATCGTAAAAGACATATAAGAAGACAATAAATCAACTAAACGTGCTTAAAAAAGCAAACATGTACTTGAATGCAAGGTATAAAGGTAGTCTATAAACGCATATTTTTGACTCCTCCACAATTTTATATTTATAATATAAACATGGCTTAAAAGCCAACAAAATGTATGTGATGTAAAACATATATATCAATGATATGGCCTGGCCTGCATGCAACTTTTTGAAAAGTTAAGATACAAACTAAGTGTACTAGTATTTCCTAAAGTAATCATATCTTATTTTTTTCTTTCAATAAGAGGGTAATGATGACCCTGGATCACTCACCTAAGATCATTGTTGGAAAAAAGGTAACAAGATCATTTTGGGAGTGTCAATTATGTCATAACACACATGATTTGTGTCATAACTGAATCCGGTTGCTTTTAAAGAAACATGCTCAATATCTGCTTTCAATTTTTTATTTCACACGAGAGAACTTTAATAACAATATCTATATACGAGTCCATATAAATTAGTGACCTTTTGTGTTTGGTAAATTTGGACCATGTTGTCCATGATATATCATTATTATAACATACTTAATCATGATGATTTAATGTATATGCGTCGGATAGTGTAGGTTAAGAGAAAACAGATTTATTACAGTAGTCTTTGTAAATTAAGTGATACCATTGCAAAACCATTTTAGACTGCAGTAGCATCATACAAATTTATGCATGTTATATCAGTCTACATACCAAATATCTTATTTCAAGTCAATGAAGTTTAACAATAGATGTTCTTAATGTGTTTTCCTATACAAGTCTGTGAACCCAGGTGGCTCTATGAGAATGATTCATTAAATGTGTTAATAAAGACCCAAGGTGGTGTTACATGCCAGCTTAGTACCAGTGCTCTATGCATTTTGATTTTTGAGAAGATTTTTTTATTGCATGTACACTTTATGATACAAAAGTGTTTTATGTAACTTTTAAAGAGGTCTTCTTTACTTGGCAAGGTTATATTTTGACTATCTAAGCTCTAGGCATTACAGTTTGTTTGTTTGTTGATTTTTTTTTAATAACATCAACAACAAAACAACTTCAATGCGATTCCCTACACAAGTCTTTAAAAACTGTGTTCCTCGTGAGGGCCTTTAAATCATGTTCCTGCAGTCCAAAATGGCTTTCCCTGTCACTTAGTTTACATTGACTTATACATTTGTATATTAAAATTCTTCTCCGAAACTATGTGCACAGAGAAGAGAAAATATTGTATATCATAACATTGTGATGCTATATAAAGATTATAAACTATTGGCATAGGGTCAAAATCACT